ATATAACTCGAAATCTTAAATGTTAAACATTACAATGGGAAGTTTTGATAGGGTTAAAAACCAGTGAGCTGATACGGATGCATATATAACATGAACTAAGCAAAATAATTGACAGAAATGATATAGAAAATGATCTCATAATCCTAAAAAACTGTAACAGACAAAAAACAGACAAAACCAGAAAAATTATAACAAAACCTTGAAAAAAAAATATAGGATTTTAGACAGACATAAAAACAGACCCAGAGGAAGTAGGTTTCCTGAACATCACACTCTAAGAAAAGATACATATCAGCCATATGGAAAATGCAACAACAAACCACTTTACATACCCACCAATTAACAATAATCAAACAGATTCCACATCCAATTAACCATAGATTATCTGGCAGTTCTTCTAATGAAACCATAAAGAAACATCTCTAAAAAATACAGAAAAAGGAACACCATATGATTTGACCCATCATACAACAAAAATGTAAAAACAAACATAGGAAAAATATTCATAATAATCCCCCCATCAAACACTCTCTACAAGATATTCAACAGAAACACAGTACAAATCAGCTACATTTGCACTAAGAACATGGCACAAATAATGAAAAAGTCCAAAGGCAAAATTAACCAACAGATCACCCACAAAAACAAACCCACCTGTAACTGTAAAGCAAAGCATGTATGTCCATTAAATGGCAATTGCCTACAAAGCAATATACCCAGCCACTGTAAAAACAGCAGATAACAAAGAAAAATATACATAAGAGTAACTCAAGGACTCTGTCAACAGAGAAACTGCACACATAAAATTTCCTGTAAGTATCTAACTCCTCCTGCCATCTAACTTTCTCCATTGTTCCTATATCTAGGCTGTAGATGCCCAGTCCTTGCTTGTCCCTCTTGATAGAGTTCAAAAGTATCTTTGCTGCCTTGTGAGTGATGAATTATTTTTCACCCTATAACCTCTTTTCTCACAGATGAAACTCTGCAATCCTCTCGCTACTCTATCGCTATTTCCATGGCTACATTCACAAGCTATATTCCATGGTTCCACCAGCCCTGACTTTTGCAACTGGGACCCACCACGTCACCTACACATATTCCATTAATAAGAAGTAAGTTCCACTTAGCCTCCTCCCAAGAAGTGCTGCTTTGTGGAACAGACTCTTGGCAGGATGTTTTCCCAATCACTACAAACTTGACTTCTTAAGTCTAGTGTTAATCATTATCTTTCCTGTATAGTCCCAAGAACTGTACTTACCTTTTCTTTATATTCATACTACACTAAAGAGTAAGCCTCTCTCTCTCTTGAGTGGCTCTTAGGCCTTGTATTAGGTGTTTATTAGCATAAAAAAAGCTGTGTGTTATAAATTAACTCTTCATGTTTCTGAGCATGATCTAGTTTATCTGCATCATTGCATAACCTTTATGAAATAATATACCGATTGCTGTAAGCTAAGCACTTTCAATTGTCAAAGATAATGGGACAATTATTCAGTATTACAAGTATTTATGAACAAGCATGTAATTATTTGCTGCAGACTGAAACCTGTAGCAAGAACATTCCAACCACAAAAATAGAGAAATCTTGTGTCAGTAAAATGAAAGAAGCAAGATGGATACCTCACCATTAATAGCAGGAAAAAGAAACAAATTGAAAATTACCCTAGTCAGTGTTTTTTTGTTTTTTTTAATAAGCAGAAAAAGAAAATGGATATATTAATTAGGCTATCCCATCATTAGCAGGTTGTTTTGGCAATTATAGTGCAATTAGTTTCTGTTTAGAATTTTTTTTTTTTACTTCCTCGTCCTCTCTTCCCCTCTGCACTCAAGGATAGATTTTAAGATACTTATTTTTGGAATATACAAGTTTGATATTATCATTGCATGTGCTATAAAATTCCCTTTAGCTAAACACAATAAATTAACCAGAAAGTGCAAGGAATAAAACATTGTGTCAGTGCATACCATTTCATACATCTTCCTCTCCACTTTATATATTCTCTAAGTAATAATGATGATTTTTAAGATTGACTTCCTAGAACACAAGTCTAAACAAGATTATGTTAAGCTATTTTCCCAAGTGATCTCAAAGTTTTGTAACTTTGAAAATGAACATTCATAATTCTGACTTTTGGTTTGGTTTTAATGAGTGGGGAAATACGCAACTCTCTCTCTTATCTAACCCAATAAATAAATGTGATCATCACAAAGTTATTTCAATTTTATTGACCTCTAACACTCCTATGAGGCAAAGTTTGTTTATCATTGAGATTATCTAGGATTTGCAATGTCTGTTTCAGGTCTATCTATTGGATCGTTCTCAAACACTTGTGGACACTTCCTTCCAAACATTTCTGTCATCTATACTCTAGACCTTAAGACAGTCCTTCAGCATACTCTATAGACTGGCACTTCTATGTGCCATGTCTGTTCTTCACTTCTTTTATGTGCCATTTCCCTTCAGGACATTGGTGATCATGGCTCTCCACAATTTCCTATTTTTTGGAACTCTTAATAAATGTTGTCTTTTTGTTATCTCTCCTAAACCTTGTTCCTCTATCCATTTACTCAAGCTCACAAGGTAGTTTATGCATTGTTTTCCTCTATCCTGCTTCCCTTCAATCTTTTCCAAGCCCTTTTTCTACATTATGTGCCTAGAAACTTGAACTTTGTCTATTTGATATTAAGTATAAATATCCTTTTTGTTTCCATTTTCTGTAAAACTTCTTCATTGCTCACTTGTTCAGTCTATGGTATTCTCAGCATCCTTCTGTAGAACCACATTTCTATTCCTTCAAGTATCTTCTTCTGTGAGGAGATTGTCCAGCATTCACTGCCATAGAAGAGGACTGATATAGCATAACAGTTAAATACTCTTTTCTTTGTTTCTAATGAAATCCTGTTTCTTAATATCTTGCTTAGCTTTTGGAAGTATTGTTTCTCTATCCCAATATTCCTTTGTATATCGGCGTCACACTTTTTGTCTTCTGCCAAAACACTTCTCAGATAGTACAACTGATGTTTAGTCCTTTCTTCAAAAACTAAGAACCTTACCAAATAATAAAAAACACATCACTTGAAAACTTCCAACAGCAGCAATAGCATGTGTAATTAAAATGATAAATAATAACATAATCTGGATGTTTACTTTCCACACAACCTTAAACAAAAGGTTAGGAAGGAAACTCCCATCATTACTAGAAAGAGTGATAACAATGATTATATTCCTGAGAAACTGTTTTAATAGAAAAATTTCATAAAGTCCAATTAATAGTAATGCTAACTTGTTGCTTAGTAAATGCTGAATGTTACTCTCCCCATTTCCATAACTGTTGTAGTAAACAAAAGAAAAGACTGTCAACTTATAGTAGCAACTTCAATAGATTTCTTCTGTTTCTTGACCACAACACTTGTAGCCAAATCACAGTCCACACGATAGCCTGTCGTAACAGTCCAACAAGCAAAGTAGAAACAACAAAATGGGATCACACATCCAACCTTCACTTCTCACGAGCAAAAACGCGTGTTCGGCTCAGAAGCTCTGAAAATATTCTGCCTTTATAAGCAAAAAACAACGGCTTCGGTTCATCGAGAGATCTTTCTGATTGGTCATGCCATTCAGGAGAGGGGAGAACATTAGCATAGATTCTAGTCATTGAAGTAGATTTTCGCTAACTACTTTTTGGTAATTTTTCTTCGGCAGATTGCACACAAAACACAAACTTTTTTCTGGAGTAACTGATTATCTCTTTCACTACAATAACTCTATTCAGTTCTTCCTTTCTTATTTCAGTGTCATCTGTGAGTTGATAGATGAAAATTCTTATGGGTCTAACTTTTGATCTTTTCTCCTAATTTGGATCCCACAGTATAAGGTGATGCCCAACTCCTTGTTGACTTCTCCAACATTGTCTACTAAATCACGTTCAGTTTTCTAAGATTGTTTCAACAATTTTTGGTAGGTTCTCATGTAGTCCTTTGATTATATGTTTTTTTTTCCAATTTACATTTAGTGCTACACTCAATAGTCAGGTGTACATACCATCTAATTTTTCTGTTAGTTATTTTGTTCATGTCCAACCTATATAAAATGACTCTTTCTACTGTTGACCTACAGAGTTGCACTTTTAACAACTGTTTTTTTCAGAAGATCAGTTTTTATCTAGAGGTCTGTTACAAATTTGGAAGAAGCAAAGTTGCAACTTTGTTAGTTTGAAACACATAAACAAAAAAAGCTTTTATGTTGATACTATTTTGACCATGTGACTATCATTGCACAGATGGCTTTTGCCTTCTTTGTAACAGGTTTCCATATTGAACAAAAAAGCAACACCAGTAAATGTACCTTGTAACTGCACACAATACATACCCTCCCTTAATGTAATTCTATTACATAAATGCAGTTGTTTCTTCTTCTTCTCTCTCTCTCTCCCTTACTCTCATTCACTTTCATGCTTGCACTTTCACTCTATCCTATTTGATCCTTTTTTACTTAATTCCTCTCCCCACTCTCTCTTTCTTTATTTCATCCTTAATTCTTTCCCCTTCTTTCTCTTTCATTCTTGTTTCTTTTTCTTCTATCTCTCTCTCATTCTGGATTTCTTTTCTCTCTCCCCACCTCTCTCTCTTTCTTTTATTTTTTATTATTTTTCTCTCACTCTCTCTCTTTTCCATTTTTGATTTTCTTTTATTCTTGATTCTTTTCCCTTTCTCTCTCTTTTTCACACGATTCTTTTCCTTCATTCTTTCTTGATGTTTTCTCCCTCTCTCTTTTTTGATGTTTTCTCCCTCTCTCTTTTTTGATGTTTTCTCCCTCTCTCTTTTTTGATGTTTTCTCCCTCTCTCTTTTTTGATGTTTTCTCCCTCTCTCTTTTTTGATGTTTTCTCCCTCTCTCTTTTTTGATGTTTTCTCCCCTCTCTTTTTGATGTTTTCTCCCTCTCTCTTTTTTTGATGTTTTCTCCCCTCTCTTTTTTGATGTTTTCTCCCTCTCTCTTTTTTGATGTTTTCTCCCTCTCTCTTTTTTGATGTTTTCTCCCTCTCTCTTTCTTGATTCTTTCCTCCATCTCTCTTTCTTCCACTCTTGATTTCCTTTTTTCTCTTTTTTTATTTCAGTTTTAATTCTTTTCTTTCTAGATTCTTCTATCAGTTTTAGCCTTTCATGGTTTTGATCTCATTCTCCTTTTCCATCATGCTTCATCTCTGTCTCCCCAATTTCTTTCCATCACGCTATATCTCTTCCCCTCTTTCTGTGATGCTCTATCTCTCTCCCTCTCTAGATTTCTCTGTCTAGCTCAGTACTTTTCTCTCTTTCTCTCTCCACTTGATCCTTTTCACTCTCACTTTCTGCCTCATTCTTTTTCTTTCACTCTCTCTCTCTCTCTCTCTCTCTCTGATCCTTCTTTCAGTCATTTTATTACTTTCAATTCAATACCATTTCTACCATTTGGGATACCATTCTACTCATCAATTTTTTTTTTATCAACATGGTGGGCATTATTTTTTTTATTTTTTTTTTTTTTTTGCATCAGTTGATTTATTCTTTTGCATGTTAAGACCAAGAGAAAGTTAGCACAAAAAATCATCTTGATTTTGAGATTTGATTTCACCTTCTAAAAAACATTTTTAACCTACTTTACTGGTTTGCTGTATTTATTGTTTTTTATCTTCCATCATTTGAATTAATCATAAATGTATAGAAATTTTAAACACAAGTAATAGAAACCAGTTTGGTATCATTAGAATACAATGCAAAATTCTATTCCCTGGTTATTGAACAATTCTGACTATGACTTTCCATTTCATAAATTAAAATTCAGAGCTTATTCATTTGAGTCGCATGAATTATTTTGAAGTGAATGTATTCACATTTTCATCTCTGATTTTAAACTTTACAATATCTTTATAAAAAATACAAAGAAACATAATTGTTTATTTCTAATAAAATATTTATTATAAATAAGAATTTTTTAAAAAATCCTTTGGAGTGTTAAGATTGGAAGTAAAAGTATTATACACACTCTCCACCAATACCATCTATAAAAATTGTAATATGAGCTCTATTAAAAATTGCTTACTGAGTCATGAGCTTTATAAATACCTAAAATCCTCTCACTAGTGTTCCCAAGGTCATATGGCACAGTAGACAAAAGCACTGGTTGATTGATCCAAAAAGTGACTTGACACAGAGTTGTGAGTTCAATCCAGAGAGAGTTATCAAGACAAGTAGATATCTAAATGCATGGTATGTAGAATTAAAACAATCTACCCCTATGGACTAAATAAAGTGTTCGGTCCAAAATTCCAACAAATATCACCTGAAGAAGGTCAGAGTGTACAATGACCAAAACATTGTGAATGTGACAGTAAAGATGAGGCCAACTGTTTAAACAATGTAAATAGTGTAAATATGTTTATAATATATATACTGAGTGTGACCAATGAAAATGTATTAAAATTATGACACATTGAAAGCTGTTATAGAATAACACTAGTACCTGCTTTAGCATCAAAGTTAAGCAATGTTGTATATAGTTAATATATATATGAGGGACTGAGTTAATAGTAGTTTCTAAAGAACATTATGAAGTTTACATCATGATATTATTATTGCTTTCTAATAAGATAACTATAAAGAAACAGTATCGTGTTGTATTCATTTCTCCTTTCATGACAATAACTGATGGGTTAACATTATTAAACAGATTTAAAAAAAAAACACTTAAAAAAGAAAAGAAAACTTTCATAGTAGTCTTATTCATCTGATAACACTTTTGTAATCTGCTTCATCTTGAGAGATAAATGTTCATTGACAATCTTAATTGATCAAAAGTGACATTAGCTTTCTTAATTGAACAAAAATTAGTCGTTAGCTTTTCTGACTGCTTGAAATTGATTATTGACTCTCCTCACTGCCCATATGTTAGTCAGTGGTTTTCTTAGCTCATCCAGAGTTATTTACATTATTTATATGCAGACTATTGTCTTATCATCTTATCACAATGTTTCAGCTTTTGTACACTTCAGCCTTATTGAAAACAAAGTGGACAATGAGCAGTACTAAATAAAAACTAGATGAGATATGGTCAACAGAATACAAACAATGTACCCCTTTAGATTAAGTAAAGGATTCAGCTTAAAATTCCCTGAAGTTGACAAACACCTGATGAAGGCTGGAGGGTACAACAGCTGAAACATTGTGATAACAAGAACAAAAATGTCCAATTGTAAATAATGTAAATTATTATTCCAGAAATTTAGACAGAAATCATCCAGAATTGGTCATTACTTTGTCCAACTAATTCTAAATTGTCTCTTGGTTTGCCAGGTTGATCAAAAATTACTACTACATTGTATAGTTCATCAAAAATTTCATGTCTTTGTTGATGTTAATCAAATGATGACTGTAGGATCAATGTCCGCTGTTACTTGGTTCAATTGTAGACTAATTACAAAAAATATATATATCAGCCAACCAATTTAGAAATCTTAACAACATGCAAATTACAAGGAATTTCCAAAATCAAACAAGTAGAATAATTTGGGAAGTGTTTTAATAGAAGAGGGAAAGTGTAACACTGAAATCTGAAGGTACATTGAGATAGCAAAAAATGTCTTCCAAAGGAAAAGCAGTGTATTAAGAAACAGAAAACTTTCATTAGAAACAAATAAAAGAGAACTGAACTATTACATAATATCAGTCTTTCTATATGGCAATGGATGCTGGACAATCTCCTCATAGATGAAGAAGAGACTTGAAGCAACACCATAGACTGAACATGTGAGCAACAATGAAGTTTTAGAGAAAATGGAAACAAAAAGGATACTTATACTTAAGATCAGAAAGAGAATTGAAATTTCTAGGGCACATAATGAGAAAAGATGCCTTGAAAGATTTGACACTTCAAGAATAGATTGAAGGCAAGCAGAATGGTGGTAAACAATACCTAACTACCTAGCAAGCTTGAGTAAATGGATGATAGGTGAAGATTTAGGTGAAGTAAAAAAAAAAAAAGAGACAAAATTTATTAAGAGCTACAAAGGGCAGGAAATTGTGGAGAGCCATGATCACCAACATCCTGAAGGGATGTGGCACATAGAAGAACTACTTAAAGAAACAAATTGTGTGTTTTCAGTTTTCGTTTTCCTTGGGGGAAATGTTAGAAAGCATTATTTATTGTATATCAAGAATTAGGTTTCAGATCTGTTGATCTTTAATTTACTAACTAAATTATATCATTCTGTCAAAGACAATATGGTAAACGTACTTTCAAGCTATGGATTTTACAAATGACTTTTTGTTGTTTTAGTTCTCATTATCCAAACTCTAACCACTTGTAAGCAGAGGAATACCTTTTTATTTTCTTCATTTTTAAGCCTGGCTTATGTGTAGAGAATTGGGAAGACATGTTGATATTTGCAATCAAGAAAAAAGGCACCAGAGCATTGATTAAAGAAAAAGGTTTTTTTTTTTTTTAAGTGTTGCTTCTCTGGAATGTTATTGATGGCAGGTTTTCCAGCTTCCATTGCCACAAGGGAAAAAATGTTTTTTTTTGTTTTTTGGTACCATAGGAAATGAGAATTTGGTGCTGTGCTTTCAGAAAAGAGATTGATTCATCTCTAAATTTTACTGGCAAATGAATAAGCCTAAAATTCACTATAAAATCATCTTTGTATGATTTGCAAAGATATTCAGTGCTAACCAAGTGAAAATAATTTCTGATTAATTTTTTTTTTTTTTTTAATTTGGCAATTTTGTTTTCTCTAATCCAAATTTTACATAGCCATTAAGCAGAAAACAGGAAATACAATCAAGAAATATAAATAAAGTTAGCTTTTGTATTTCCTGGATGTAAGCAGTAAGATTTTAATTACAGTGTTTGGGGGGGGTGCCACCTACATTTTTTTTTTGTTTTTGTTTCTCACTCTCTTTCAGTTATTCTGTACTGCCACTTTTTCACTTCTTCATAAACCATATTTCTTCATTTATTTTACTATCTTATAATTATTTGTACTCATTGAGTTTTATCATGAATTATTAACTTGTGGTTTTCACTGGAAATCAAGTGACAGCAAGTTTAGTCTGTATTCTGATACACTTCTCAGTATTGTGATTTCATTAACATTATCATCTGGATGGTTTCAATTCATATTCTGATTTTCAATTATACCAACCTCTTCAAAAGGTTCTTTGAAACTGTTCCAAGCACACCAATAATGATGGGAACAAATTCTCATGTTCATTCAAAGGACAAAAATAAGTAGCATTACAAATGATAGGTGTTATAATAATTTCCAAAATATGAAAAAGAACAATAATTAAACTGATGAGCAGCAGATTAACTTTCTCCAAGACTAAATTCTGATTTAAAATACAAATTTAAAAAGAATAATACAAGATATTATTTCCAAACATTTGGTAACAAATCTTAATGTATATTTTGATCAATCAAATGAAATACAGATACACTAAATCTTTAGCTTCTTATAACATACAATAATAATATTTTTAAAATCCTCATTCAATAGCACCAAATTTAGGCAATATTGTATAGAGGGTCAGTATCAGATAAAGAACTGATTTTTCAAAAACACAGAAAATAAAGCTTTTTCATTGGTCTTATCTCTATTGTCTAATAAAAAGAAAGAGGACAAATAACAGTGAAATAGAAATGTTAATTGTTAATTGGCTAAAAAATGTGAAGTCACATGATTTTATATTTTTTTAAATTTACAGTTTAAATCTAGTATCTAGACTAAGTGCCTTTTCTGGTCTACTTTGCCAATAGTTGGGATAAGCATGATAGAAAATCAACATCTTTTGCCAAGTGTTCCAAGAAATAGGAAAACAGAAACTATGATCTGGAGCTAACCTAAAGTCTGCCTGAAGGGTGGCTTCTAGGCTAGTAAGAGAATAAGGAAGAATAGTTATATAAATCTAAAGGTTGGTTACCAAGTAAGTTTAATTTTATAGAAAACTGTAGTGCTAGTCATAATTTAAATATGTGAAGAATGGAGACTATAAATTATCTCCCCTTGACAAGAACAGACGGTTGTCTATATTCAGTTTGTGGGGATTATTTTCTTGAATATCAACCACTGTGATATATAACTTTACAACAAAAACAAAAATATCAAATAATAAAGAAAATTAACAATGAGTTCAGAAACCATTTTCACCTGTTTAGCCCAAAGTATGATTTCATATAGAATTTTAGATTTATTACATAGAAATGAGTATTAAGAAGACTTACAATTGGACAAGTGTGGGTCTGTTCTTCACCTCTTTTATGTGCCATTTCCCAACAAGACATGAGCATTCATAGCTCTCCACAACTTCCTATCCTTTGTAGCTCTTAGCATTATGTATTTTTTAATATCCCTCTCACACCCTGTTTTAGCATCCAT